GTGAGGCCCGGCACCGTTCATGCCTTGTGGCCAATCTGGCCCCCGGGAAGTGTTTAATAGGCAGCCAATCAGGCAGTAATCAAGAAGCAGTGGCTTAGGCACCCCCAGCCTCCGCCATCAGCCAATCACTATAACCTTCACCAAGTTATAAACCTGGACGGATACCCTCACTTTCTCTCTCCCTCTCACTCAATATATTTTAATATTAAAATAAAAAGGAAATTATAATTAAAATATAAAATTAATATTATGGCTTCATCTGGACGCTTAATGTTTTGTCCAAATATTAGACAACTTGGCCAACTTGCAATATCTTGTTAACATCAGAAGGGGATAACCTCCTGGTGTTAATATTGATAACTTTATGTTACAGAGGGCTTCTGCGTCTCACATTACTGCAAAAAAATAGTATATGAGAAAATGTTGACCAGACCACACACTAGAAAGTGAAGGGACGAAGACGTTTCGGTCTGTCCTGGACCATTCTCAAGTCGATTGTGTACAAGGCTGAAGTCCATTCTCACAATCGACTTGAGAATGGTCCAGGACGGACCGAAACGTCGTCGTCCCTTCACTTTCTAGTGTGTGGTCTGGTCAACATATTTCAGCCACGTTATTGTGACTTCTCGTCTGTATATGAGAACATGTTTCTTGTTGATTATGTTTTGTTATTACATGCAGATATCTCCCCTGACTAGCTGATTCTACTAGCATTAGTTAATAGTTTAGAACTTGTTTACATTTAGTAACATTCTAGCAATCAAGATTGTAACTGCCCTGAGTTTGGGGTCTTACTCAGTGTTATAACCGGATCCAGGTCAGACGAGTATTGTGATATGGCCACGGAATAATTTACATCCAGTCTAACACTCGCTACCAAAAACCAACTTTTATATAGTGACGAACTGGTTAAATCCAGGAATACTTAAGTCTTGCAGCTTACTTGGGCTTATTTTTGCACTCCGCCATTCAAAAAAAGACTCACCAGATTCAATGGTTTTTTATTACTAATATTTTGTAATGTGATGTCTGTTGTTTGTTACATTAGAAGTAAACAGCTAGCCATCTTGGCTGTTTTCCTCCAAACATCTTCTGTTATGACTCACTCGATGCCTACTGTGGCTCTGGTCCGAGGCCCAAGGTGTTTGAGTCGGTTACTGTCCGGTGCAGCTTGAGCTATCTACTGGTTTATAAAGAACCACGGAGGAAGAATCGAAACAGCGTCAGAGCTGAGCTGACTGGGGAGTGGGAGGACGTTCCTCGGTCAGCTCTTGAGGATTTGAGGCTCTACAAGCCTTACTCAGTGGATCAAACTAGTCATCGCAGTCCACCATTGTTACTGATGACCCTGTGCTTCCGGAAAGCAAGAAGAAACTAAGTTCAATGAGCAGAGAAGTGCCAAAACTTGAAGAATCTGTCGGCGACAATGCTGGAGGGGCGCCGCCTGACGCTGGAGGGGTCTGGAAGGTGTGGCAGGCAGGCCTAGCTGTGACCGGGTCACGTTCACTGAGGGTTTTGGAGGGACGACACCGATCCTAGGACAAGGAGCAAAGCCTTGTGGAAGGGACGAGTGTGTGCATACAGTGATTAGCTCAGTTCCCACTAGGTGAGCCAGGATTGGGATATCTGAAACTCTGGGAGTAGTTCGGCGACGACGCGAAGGCTTCACGACACCTGAGGACTTGTGGAACGTTCCTGGATCGTCAAGGACCGACTCAGGAAGCGTGGGAACCTCACACCATCGAGTGACAGGCGTCGTGAGCCAGGAATGTTAAGGTAGATCATCTTCCCTCCCATTACCCCCCCTTGTTGAGTAGGCTAGATAGGCCACGATATTTACCGATTATCAATGTTACAATATAACATTGATACATTAGTAGTAGGATAGGCTGCAGGGCAGCTTGCATCCAGGACTGTTGAAGAGGACAGTGTGTGTGGACGACGGGGCAGTTGGAGAGGAGGTGGCCGACGTTAATGAAACGGCCCTCTGTGAGGGAGTGTGTGGCCCCCTTTTAAATCTGCCCAGCTGAAGGAGTTGTTGGAGGTCGCGAAAGAAGAGTTGCTGACGATCTCCAGATTTATTATTCTCATTTTTCCATTCCTGTATTGCTTGTAATTGTATGTGTGATCATGTAGCTTGTGTCAGTAAATTCACACATTTTATTATTGTGTTAAGTGTGCCTCCATAATAATCTATACGAGCATAAACGAGGGTTATCATAGTACCACCTAGTGAACACTACATTTTCTACAGAAAATCTTATTGCCTGGAGAGTGGTAAAGCAGCAGAGACTTATATAAAAGTGTACCCTAGGCCATCCGACCTGAATCACAGCCGAAATGGTGGCAACACTTTGGCAACAAGCAATGTAGTGGCTGGGGAGAGGTAAAGCCACACAGACTTTTATGGAAGTATACCTTGGGCTGACAGACCAGTGTCAACTCTGTAGGAGTAGCAACACTTAGACAACAAGCAGTATAGAATACATCCACTGAACTGCATTGCTGGGGTGCAGATATATTAAGCAAGGCCCAATTTGCCTAATAACCCAAGTTTTATATATGTATATGTATATATATATATATATATATATATATATATATATATATATATATATATATATATATATATATATGTCGTACCTAGTAGCCAGAACGCACTTCTCAGCCTACTATGCAAGGCCCGATTTGCCTAATAAGCCAAGTTTTCATGAATTAATTGTTTTTCGGACACCTAACCTACCTAACCTAACCAAACCTAACTTTTTAGGCTACCTAACCTAACCTAACCAATAAAGATAGGTTAGGTTAGGTTAGGTAGGGTTGGTTAGGTTCGGTCATATATCTACGTTAATTTTAACTCCAATAAAAAAAAATTGACCTCATACATAATGAAATGGGTAGATTTATCATTTCATAAGAAAAAAATTTGAGAAAATATATTAATTCAGGAAAACTTGGCTTATTAGGCAAATCGGGCCTTGCATAGTAGGCCGAAAAGTGCGTTCTGGCTACTAGGTACGACATATATATATATATATATATATATATATATATATATATATATGTCGTACCTAGTAGCCAGAACTCACTTCTCAGCCAACTATTCAAGGCCCGATTTGCCTAATAAGCCAAGTTTTCCTGAATTAATATATTTACTATAATTTTTTTCTGATGAAATGATAAAGCAACCCTTTTCTCTATGTATGAGGTCAATTTTTTTTTATTGGAGTTAAAATTAACGTAGATATATGACCGAACGTAACCAACCCTACCTAACCTAACCTAACCTATATTTATAGGTAAGGTTAGGTTAGGTAGCCAAAAAAAGCTAGGTTAGGTTAGGTTAGGTAGGTTAGGTAGACGAAAAAACATTAATTCATGAAAACTTGGCTTATTAGGCAAATCGGGCCTTGAATAGTAGGCTGAGAAGTGCGTTCTGGCTATTAGGTACGACATATATATATATATATATATATATATATATATATATATATATATATATGTCGTACCTAGTAGCCAGAACGCACTTCTCAGCCTACTATGCAAGGCCCGATTTGCCTAATAAGCCAAGTTTTCCTGAATTAATATATTTTCTCTAATTTTTTTCTTATGAAATGATAAAGCTACCCATTTCATTATGTATGAGGTCAATTTTGTTTATTGGAGTTAAAATTAACGTAGATATATGACCAAACCTAACCAACCCTACCTAACCTAACCTAGCCTATCTTTGTAGGTTAGGTTATGTTAGGTAGCAGAAAAAGTTAGGTTAGATTAGGTTAGGTAGTCGAAAAACAATTAATTCATGAAAACTTGGCTTATTAGGCAAATCGGGCCTTGCATAGTAGGCTGAGAAGTGCGTTCTGGCTACTAGGTACGACATATATATATATATATATATATATATATATATATATATATATATATATATATATATATATATATATATATATATAAAACATTAAGTTCGTAGGAACGTTTAACATTACATTTATCATCTCCAAAACTATATTTGAGGATGTTCACTTGTGTTGTAAGAAGTATAAATAAACCAGATGCACTTTCTCTTGTTGGTGTAATACAATCTGCGAAGATGTGTAATTCCCCCTTTAATGTAGACTAAAAATATTCTAACTGAAATCTGGTAACTCTGATCTTTACACGGATTTACCAATATTTATTGCCGATCCATGTATACTATTTATGCTTCTGGATGAATGGTTCTTGAAGGCTGGCTGGTGCGATAGTCGCGTGTTGTTACCTTAGTGATCTATGGACCATTTCTAATACATTTGATACTATTTATTGGAATTTTACATATTCCACATAATGGATTATGCATTGCTGTTTTGCACACATAAATATTGGACTGATATTTTAAATAAAAATCGACAGGAGACAAAGCAGTGACTTGTGTTTTGATGAGTTATGAAGACTGATGTTAAGTCTTCATAACAGTTAAATCTTTTCCACAGTACTGGATTCACTGTGGGGAAATACGAAGCAAAATTGAACTAGATGAAAGTCATGGAAGCATAAAGTATATACAAGCTGTTAAGCTGCACAAATATAATATTTATTTATTAATAAACTCTTACTTAATAGGATTTATCAAGGGATATTACCACAATTACTCTGGCATCCAGCTGGAGATGAACTAAGCACTTTGCAGAGTACTAAAGTGCATTAAAGAGAGTACTCAGAAAACTTGGATAAGAGTAGTGAGAGGTGCGTGGACATAATCCCCCCCCCCACACACACACTCAGGGGACAAGAGTAGTGAGAGGTGCGTGGACATAATCCCCCACCACACACTCAGGCGACAAGAAACTCTCCAACAATGGCCCCATAAACTTGGGCACGTAAGTTGCAATAGTTATAGGGACATGAGCCGGGCTGTTAGAGAACCAATTATAACATCGCTCACATACAAATTCACTTAGATAAATCTATTGCACGAAGCAGCAGTTAATGTTATGCTTGTGATGCACTTACAGAGGTGGTTGAGGGCCTCCACATCACCAAGGTGCACGTCCCGACGCCCGTGGCCGTGGGGGAAGGCGGAGTGCTCGAGTGTGAGTTCGTGGACGAGGGTGAGAGCATCTACGCCCTCAAGTGGTACCTGGGCCTGGACGAGTTCTACCGGTGGACGCCGGCCGAGACCCCGCAGGTGAAGACCTTCCCTGTGAGGGGCGACCCCCTGGCCGTCGACACCGGCGCCTCCCACAGGGGCAGGGTCAAGGTGTATGACGTCACTCTCGGCGCCTCGGGGGTCTTCCGCTGTGAGGTGTCGGCTGAAGCCCCTGACTTCCACACGGAGTCTGACGTCGCCACCATGGTTGTTGTGGGTGAGTGTAGTGCCACCATGGTTGTTGTGGGTGAGTGTAGTGCCACCATGACTGTTGTGGGTGAGTGTAGTGCCACCATGGTTGTTGTGGGTCAGTGTAGTGCCACCATGGTTGTTGTGGGTGAGTGTAGTGCCACCATGGTTGTTGTGGGTGAGTGTAGTGCCACCTATGATTGTTGTGGGTGAGTGTAGTGCCACCATGGTTGTTGTGGGTGAGTGTAGAGCCACCATGGTTGTTGTGGGTGAGTGTAGTGCCACCATGGTTGTTCTGGGTGAGTGTAGAGCCACCATGGTTGTTGTGGGTGAGTGTAGTGCCACCAACGATTGTTGTGGGTGAGTGTAGTGCCACCATGGTTGTTGTGGGTGAGTGTAGTGCCACCATGGTTGTTGTGGGTGAGTGTAGAGCCACCATGACTGTTGTGGGTGAGTGTAGTGCCACCATGATTGTTGTGGGTGAGTGTAGAGCCACCATGGTTGTTGTGGGTGAGTGTAGTGCCACCATGGTTGTTGTGGGTGAGTGTAGTGCCACCATGGTTGTTGTGGGTGAGTGTAGTGCCACCATGGTTGTTGTGGGTGAGTGTAGTGCCACCATGACTGTTGTGGGTGAGTGTAGTGCCACCATGGTTGTTGTGGGTGAGTGTAGTGCCACCATGACTGTTGTGGGTGAGTGTAGTGCCACCATGACTGTTGTGGGTGAGTGTAGTGCCACCATGGTTGTTGTTGGTGAGTGTAGAGCCACCATGGTTGTTGGGGTGAGTGTAGTGCCACCATGGTTGTTGTGGGTGAGTGTAGTGCCACCATGGTTGTTGTGGGTGAGTATAATACTACAATGGTTGTTGTGGGGTACTGTAGTGTTACCATGGTTGTTGTGGATGAGTGTAGTGCCACCATGGTTGTTGTGGGAGAGTGTAGTGCCACCATGGTTGTTGTGGGTGAGTGTAGTGCCAACATGGTTGTTGTGGGTGAGTGTAGTGCCACCATGGTTGTTGTGGGTGAGTGTAGTGCCACCTATGGTTGTTGTGGGTGAGTGTAGTGCCACCATGGTTGTTGTGGGTGAGTGTAGTGCCACCATGGTTGTTGTGGGTGAGAGTAGTGCCCCAATGGTTGTTGTGGGTGAGTGTAGTGCCACCATGGTTGTTGTGGGTGAATGTAGTGCCACCATGGTTGTTGTGGGTGAGTGTAGTGCCACCATGACTGTTGTGGGTGAGTGTAGTGCCACCATGGTTGTTGTGGGTGAGTGTAGTGCCACCATCACTGTTGTGGGTGAGTGTAGTGCCACCATGACTGTTGTGGGTGAGTGTAGTGCCACCATGGTTGTTGTGGGTGAGTGTAGTGCCACCATGGTTGTTGTGGGTGAGTGTAGTGCCACCATGGTTGTTGTGGGTGAGTGTAGTGCCACCATGGTTGTTGTGGGTGAGTGTAGTGCCACCATGGTTGTTGTGGGTGAGTGTAGTGCTACCATGGTTGTTGTGGGTGAGTATAATACTACAATGGTTGTTGTGGGTGAGTGTAGTGCCACCATGGTTGTTGTGGGTGAGTGTAGTGCCACCATGGTTGTTGTGGGTGAGTGTAGTGCCACCATGGTTGTTGTGGGTGAGTGTAGTGCCACCATGGTTGTTGTGGGTGAGTGTAGTGCCACCATGGTTGTTGTGCGTGAGTGTAGTGCCACCATGACTGTTGTGGGTGAGTGTAGTGCCACCATGGTTGTTGTGGGTGAGTGTAGTGCCACCATGGTTGTTGTGGGTGAGTGTAGTGCCACCATGACTGTTGTGGGTGAGTGTAGTGCCACCATGGTTGTTGTGGGTGAGTGTTGTGCCACCATGGTTGTTGTGGGTGAGTGTAGTGCCATCATGGTTGTTGTGGGTGAGTGTAGTGCCACCATGGTTGTTGTGGGTGAGTATAATACTACAATGGTTGTTGTGGGTGAGTGTAGTGCCATCATGGTTGTCGTGGGTGAGTGTAGTGCCACCATGGTTGTTGTGGGTGAGTGTAGTGCCATAATAGTTGTTGTGGGTGAGTGTAGTGCCACCATGGTTGTTGTGGGTGAGTGTAGTGTCATCATGGTTGTTGTGGGTGAGTGTAGTGCCACCATGGTTGTTGTGGGTGAGTGTAGTGCCACCATTGTTGTTGTGGGTGAGTGTAGTGCCACCATGACTGTTGTGGGTGAGTGTAGTGCCACCATGGTTGTTGTGGGTGAGTGTAGTGCCACCATTGTTGTTGTGGGTGAGTGTAGTGCCACCATTGTTGTTGTGGGTGAGTGTAGTGCCACCATTGTTGTTGTGGGTGAGTGTAGTGTCACCATGACTGTTGTTGGTGAGTGTAGTGCCACCACTACATGGTAACCTCTACTCTGATAACCATTCCAAAGGTTACTGTGGTTCATGTGTGACCTTGGACCCGTGCGTGGTTGCTCAGGAACACTCTGCAGGTGTGTTATTGTACAGGTGTGGTATTGTGCAGGTGTGGTATTGTGCAGGTGTGGTAGTGTACAGGTGTGGTAGTATGCAGGTGTGGTATTGTGCAGGTGTGGTAGTGTGCAGGTGTTGTAGTGTGCAGGTATGGTATTGTGCAGGTATGGTAGTGTGCAGGTGTGGTAGTGTACAGGTGTGGTATTGTGCAGGTGTGGTATTGTGCAGGTGTGGTAGTGTGCAGGTGTGGTATTGTGCAGGTGTGGTAGTGTGCTGGTGTGGTAGTGTGCAGGTGTGGTATTGTGCAGGTGTGGTAGTGTGCAGGTGTGGTAGTGTGCAGGTGTCGAATTATGCAGGTGTCGTATTGTGCAGGTGTGGTAGTGTGCAGTTGTGGTAGTGTGCAGGTGTGTTATAGTGCAGGTGTGGTAGTGTGCAAATGTGGTAGTGTGCAGGTGTCGTATTGTGCAGGTGTGGTATTGTGCAGGTGTGATAGTGTGCAAGTGTGGTAGTGTGCAGGTGTCGTACTGTGCAGGTGTGGTATTGTGCAGGTGTGGTAGTGTTCAGGTGTCGTATTGTGCAGGTGTGGTATTGTGCAGGTGTGGTAGTGTGCAGGTGTGGTAGTGTGCAGGTGTCGTATTGTGCAGGTGTGGTATTGTGCAGGTGTGGTAGTGTGCAGGTGTGGTAGTGTGCAGGTGTGGTATTGTGCAGGTATGGTAGTGTGCAGGTGTGGTAGTGTGCAGGTATGGTAGCGTGCAGGTGTGTTAGTGTGCAGGTGTGGTTTTGTGCA